AAACTATAAAAAGAAGTGGGCCCAAAATTGAACCTTGGGGAACTCCTATTGTACATGGAAGAGGATCAGATTTTAGACTATTTCTTACAATTACTTGAGTTCGATTTATTAAGTAAGACTGTATCCATTCATAAGGTTTCCCTTGTATTCCTAACCCATTCATCTTCAATAATAAAAGATTATGATCCACCATATCAAATGCACGGCTAAGGTCATAGAAGAGTCCCAAAATATGTTTTTTATCATTGAGTGCTTGATATATAAACTCTAGGCAAGCTGCAATTGCAGTAGATGTTGACTTATTTTTTCTAAATCCATTTTGAGTATCTGGCAACATATTAAAACTTTCAAGGTAATTAGTGAGTCTAATAGAGTATGCTGACTCAAATATTTTACTAGATACACAGATTAAACGATAATTTTCTATATTAGATGTAGATCCCTTATTTTTATAAACAGGAATTCCTGATTCCTTCATATTTGGGAATAATCACGAAACAAAGGATTCATTAATCAAATGTGATATGGGTTCAGCAATACAATGAGTAACCGATAACAGAATTTTACCATTTATTTCGTCAATACCTTCAGTACATACATTTCACTAGGAGTTGTTGAAAAAAGAAAAAAACTTTTATGATGTTTATCAATACTCGTAGTATAGTTAGGTACAATATTATTTTTATTTACATTAATAAAATAGTCATTGATATAATTTACTTTTTCTAAGGGTGTTAATTTGTCATCATTTGTAAGTTTAATAGGATTCAATGAGTTGTTTTTTCTTTTTCCCCTGCTCTCTTTTATTATATTAAAGAATTCTTTCATTATGTTATTACTTTTTAAAATACAATCATTATTTTTTCTTCTCAAATATTGTTTTGATATTTTTTGATACACTTTTTTTAAATTATTGTAACGTTCTGTATAATATGTAGAATTTATTTCTTTCTTTAACCTGTTCATTTCACATAATAGATTATGTAACTCTTTAATATGAGGTGGAAACTAATTTTTTAATTTTTGTGGTTTTATCGCTTTCTTTGTTTTCGTAAATACAATATTGTAGTGGTATAGGAATGATTCATAAAAGATAGAAAATTTATCATTAAAATTAGTAGATGTGTATACTTCACGCCAATTTTCAACTGATAAAATATTTATAAAAGTTATTGCGTTAGGGTCACTTAAATCTCGTTTATATCTGTATTTAAATTCGTTATTTTCAAAATTAGGTAGTTAAATATCTGATGTCTTATGTGATGTGAAAGAGTGGATTTTTGGCAAGCTTTACATAAAGTTTTGACAATAGTGATATATCATCCAATTCCTCTTCGAATAAACTACTTTATGAACATCAAAAAAATTCCCTATTAATTTTTTTCTTACCTGTTGTAGGTCATAAAATAAAGGCAAAGAAAAATATATCAAACTGTTTTTGAATTTATATATTTATTTTTAATTTATTTAAGGGCCCGCTATTACAGGTTTTTAAATTCTACTTACCTTTACTACACATAAAACATTATTGTTGATTTACTCTGCAACAACTTTCTCATTTTCTATTTTCGGGTTTAAAAAATATTGAATTTTGAGTTTAAGAATTTGCAATAATTTTTACTATGAGAACAAATAATCTGATGAGAAATTTAAGTCATATCTAAAATTCTATTAAACATATCAGTAATATATTTTAGATAGAATATCTGTGAACATACCAATCAAATATTTTTCTTACATATCTTTGGTAAACCATATAAAATGTAATTTTTTTTGATACAGAAATAACTGCATTTAAAAATAAAAATTTCAGAAATTTAAATTAAATAACTGTCAAATGTCAGTCGTCGTCTTCTTTGCCATTGGTAATTTACTGGCCTCTTTCTACAAGAAAATTGGCAACTTTGCCACTGGCCTGTTTCAATCGATAAATTAGCCAACTTTTTTTACATTACTTATTATAAGAGATGAAGACTAGCCAAATGTCAAATAAAATAGAAGAATTTAAACTTTATGAAAAAGGCCACAAAATTACAAAAGTATAGAAGAAGACAATAACCTAATATAATAAAATTTATAACAAATTTATTTATCTATGAAAATAAATAAATCCATTTCAGACAGGTATCTAGGGATGTTGCGATACTACTGATATGATACTGGTATCGATACTTTTCTTTCGATACCGGGTAATTTAGTACCCGATACTTTGCTTTCGATACTTTACTCATATGGGTACTACTTTTATTTCGATACTACTACTTTCGTTTCAATAATTTTACTACAAAATGTATATTGTAGGATCACTTTATGGTATGATATGTCGGCGTGAACCCTATGACTTTTTTTTTTTTTTTTTTTTTTTTTTCTGAACTCTTTCCGATATAGGTATCGATACTTTCGTTCCGATACCCTTTCGATACCGGTATCGATACTTTGGTTCCGATACTCCTTTCGATACCAGTATCGATACTTTACTGGTATCGCAACATCCCTACAGGGGTGCTATTTTCAAAGTCGAGAGAATTCATTTCTCTCGAGAGAAATGTCATACGTCAACGTAAAACAGTATTTTTAGGGTCCTAAGGGCCAGTGTAAACTCACTGATTGTTTCTCACGGTTTATTTAGAGATAATTAATATCCTCCTAAGAATTTTAATCCTCGAGGCCTTTAAAAACAGCGTTTCCACATTGACGTATGACATTTCTGATGAGAATCTTGAGAGAAATGAGTACTCACACGGTTTGAAAATAGGTCCCCTAGGGTGCTATTTTCAAAGTCGAGAGAATTCATTTCTCTCGAGAGAAATGTCATACGTCAACGTAAAACAGTATTTTTAGGGTCCTAAGGGCCAGTGTAAACTCACTGATTGTTTCTCACGGTTTATTTAGTGATAATTAATATCCTCCTAAGAATTTTAATCCTCGAGGTCTTTAAAAACAGCGTTTCCACATTGACGTATGACATTTCTGATGAGAATCTTGAGAGAAATGAGTACTCACACGGTTTGAAAATAGGTCCCCAGGGGTGCTATTTTCAAAGTCGAGAGAATTCATTTCTCTCGAGAGAAATGTCATACGTCAACGTAAAACAGTATTTTTAGGGTCCTAAGGGCCAGTGTAAACTCACTGATTGTTTCTCACGGTTTATTTAGAGATAATTAATATCCTCCTAAGAATTTTAATCCTAGAGGCCTTTAAAAACAACGTTTCCACATTGACGTATGACATTTCTGATAAGAATCTTGAGAGAAATGAGTACTCACACGGTTTGAAAATAGGTCCCCTGGGGTGCTATTTTCAAAGTCGAGAGAATTCATTTCTCTCGAGAGAAATGTCATACGTCAACGTAAAACAGTATTTTTAGGGTCCTAAGGGCCAGTGTAAACTCACTGATTGTTTCTCACGGTTTATTTAGAGATAATTAATATCCTCCTAAGAATTTTAATCCTCGAGGCCTTTAAAAACAGCGTTTCCACATTGACGTATGACATTTCTGATGAGAATCTTGAGAGAAATGAGTACTCACACGGTTTGAAAATAGGTCCCCAGGTATCAGAGATATTATGTAGAACCATCACGATTCAAGTATAATTAAAACAACAGAATTCAAAAGCCACAAAAACTAATACAAAAAATATGACAATTATTTTCCTATGAAGAATAATATTGTGCTTTGTAGGAGCCATAAATTTGCAAATCTTACAATGGCTGCGTTCATCCGCGCCATTTCAAGGAGCGCTACAAAAGTAGCGATCACTTACGCTACCTGATCGATCTTTATGCACGGATGAACCATGTTTAAAAGTGACATTTGACATTTGATTGTGATTTATTCATTTTACTTTTGAGTTGAATATCTCTGGTTGAAGATTTGTTTATTTTTCAATTGCTAATAAAACCCTACTAGTCACCAAGCAAACCGTGGACGTAAGTGCGTAAGACAGATCACCAAATCAGTGATCACCGATCAGACGTCAATAAAATGCGCTACTTTTAATGGCGGCCGCTCCTTGAGCGAAATGTCAAAATACACCGTTCATACGTGCCACTCGAGAGCGCTACCAGATCGATCAGGTAGCATGTGGCGTGGATGAACGCAGCCAATGTTATCACTAGAAGTAAAAGTGCATAAAAATAGAAATTAAAAACTTACCATTACAAAAATACACTTTGAGTATTATTGCGGGTTATTTTTGAAATTCTTGCTTTTATAAACTAATTTACCATTATCTAAGCAAAAATAGATGTTTGGGCTCAAGTTCTAAGTTTTCCTTCTAGGATAGCCTTAAATCTGCAATGAAAAATGATCATAATGCACATTATTTTGTATGATAAACTAGCTAATCAAAAAATTACCATATTTAATAAAATGTAGTCAAATACCATTAGAGAATATGTATATAGTTAGGAAGGAGGAATGTTGTTGAACTTGAAGATAAGATTACCCTTTAAATAAAAACACTGTATTCTGTATAAATAATTGATGATAAAAACTCCTTTGATAATTTTATCTTTAAAAATAAATAAAATCATTGGAATCTAGCATTGCGTTCGGTTTGCCACGTTCCTTTAACACTTTTAACTCCAAACGACTCTTTTAGCGTTCGGTTTAGTCCGATTAGTGACAGTTTAACACGCTTAAATGTCATTTAAAAGCACCCTAAAATTTGTCCCGCTCCAGCCCCTGACTGACCGAACTCGCCTTAGAAGGCTGTATTTAAATTTGACATTGACAACTTTGACAGTAATAAGGAACATGGCGGGCAAGTGTTTCCGGTTACCAGTGACGTTCTGTCATGAGAGGGTATGAAAGAATATTCGATTTATTTACATATTTAAAGGGTACAGGGTGATATAATTATAGTAGAACATTTGTTTACTTACATATTTTAACCGGTTTACTTCTATTGTGGAACAGCTGTTGGTAAAAGTTTAGAAGTTCTATCAAAATAATTCCTTATAAAATAGCATTAAATAAAATTAAAACAAATATTTTGATCGTTTTATTTCTTATAAAAATGTTGACAAATATATATTTCATAACAATCTATATATATTTTCCTGTAAAATCCAACAAAACAAGATTACACAATATCGCACTTTTATCATATGAAACCAATCGGTGTTTTTATTAAGTAAAAAGAAAATTTGACATCAAATTGGTCCCGAATATGGTAAGAATGCCTCTAAACATAATATATAATAAGCCATTCTTTAAGTATCTAAATGGCAATAATAAAACAAAGACTATCACAGCTCATATACGTTTTCATCTACGTTGTTACTTCATTTACTCAAAAAAGAAATTAAGATCAATATATCATAATAAAATGACTTAGATTTTGAGCTTATCAATGTTGTTAAAAATAATACGTTACTATACTAAAAATATATATACAATAAGATTAACTACAGAGTGAACAAAACTTCTGAAATTAAATGAATTAACTTAGTCAGAAGTTTAGAGAACTCTATTTATAGAATACAGATCTGTTAATATTAATTAATAATAGTTAATAATGGAACAGGTGTTTCAGAAAGTACATAGGAATCTGTTGTAGGATGTGCCATAAGTACCATCATTTTTTGAAAAGAAACTAATTAATATTTATTAAAAGAAACTAAAGAACGTCGATGTAAAAATTATCTTGTCCAAAAAAACAAAGTGGTCATTTTGCTGTCAAACATCTCTGCAAAATAATATAAACGACAGAACCTTCTTTTCACAAATTAATTAAACATTGGCAATCTTTTTTAGAACTTAAAATACAAACAAAAATATCCTACACGATCTACACTGGTAAAACAAAAAAAAAATAGAACGGAAATTGTATTTCTAGTGACTTTTATGATAACTTAATTGTCAGTTCTGTCAAATACGTCAGTTTGAGCTTTATAGGGTGTCAAACGTAGGAAAATGGCACCGGAAGTGCCATTGTTTTAACCATTTTGCACAGGATAGGGATTGGCATAGGCGCCGTTTTGTAAGGTACAATATTTCTGCAGCTGAGGTGAAAAAATATGGAAAAATAATGTTCGACGGTTTTCTTGAGACAACAAAAATTAAAACAAAAAAGATAACAAACAGGAAATAATGAAAAAATAAAACCCATGGATCGAGAAGGCATCATAGGCTGCTAATAACAGAATAGGAAAAATTTCGCATTATTTAAATATAAATTTACTTGGTAATATCAAATTTGGCACTTAAATATAATTATATAAGGATCTACAACTACAATTATTAAAATATCTTATAAATACTTGGTATTACTGGCAAATAAAGACTTTTTTTTTTTGGAAGTTTGTACTTTTGTATACATGCACATTTTAATTTAAACTTGAAGGAATGCTCCGTGATTTATTTTCTGTAAAAAAATATCTACAACAAAAAATATGTATTCAATCTATATTGTAAAAAATTGATTGTGTTTTCTATTCTACAGTCAGTGATTGTTTTTTTAATGTTTACGAAATTGGCTAGGCACGAATTTATTAAAAGTAAAATAGTTTTACGGTTGATAAATGTTGCCAAAATGATTATCTTATATTCTCAGGAAATCTTATAACCGAATTACGCGTCTACTATAACCAGGGGCGGAGAATCCAAACGTGCATTTATAAAATCTCCCCAAGTAACAATTTTAAGACACTTTAAATTTGTTTTAAAAGTGCTTTAATATATTCCAACATAACGATATTGGTTTTAAAGCTACTTTAAGATGAACTAGAAGTTCTTAAATAGTTATGCAAAGAATTTAATGCACACTTTAAATTAAAATAAAAAAAAAATTGCGCTCAATATCCTATTGATCTTATACTGGTTTTATAATACTCCTGATATTGGCTATTTTAAAACTAATGTACTATTTTAAAGGATTAAATAGCAAGTTGGTTTTAAAACAATCCATTTTGGAACAAATAGTTTTAATGTAGTTTTATTTATGCATTCATTAAAACCCATTAAAAAAACTGTTTTATCTTAAGGGGAATAATGGGTCTTTTAATCCCATATCCAGCATAAAATAAAGTTGCCTTGAAGAACTTTTTAAGAATATAAAATTAAAACTAAATGGTTTTAATTTGGTTTTAAAATTTAGTTTGTTAGGACGGGCCCTTTTTTGGATGGAAACTGCTTTATGGTGGCTTTAAGACTGTTTTAAAGACCATTTGGTTTTATCCAAAAATTTTATTGTATAGTTTTATTAAACGCAATAACTTTTTTATTTCTAAACATCCAATTTTCAAGTTCACGAAGAAAATGCTTTAGATGAGGAACCAAACAAAATTTCGTGTTTGCCAATATCATAAAAGTTTATTATTTTTGTTTACTTACCGTTCTCCTCGATTTTTATAACGAACTACCAACAGTTACCAGAAAAACGAGCAAACTTGTCGATTGAATGCGAATCAAGAGTTCAAATAAATAGTCAAGAAAAAATAATTTAAAAAAATTTCTCTCAATTAAATATCCTAGAAAACAAAGATTAATAGTCATGCCAGTCACCGTGTTGATTATTTTACAGGGTGTTTTTTAAAAGTACGCACTTATTACAACTGGTTAATGATTCAATGCTGAGAGCTGCCTAGTGGGTCTGTTATTAACAATGTTACCACAGTATTTTGATTTTAATTAAACATTAATTTGTATTTGATCAACAAAGAAAGAGTTTGTTTAATTTGTTCTATTTCATTTAATTTAGTGATAAATGTACATGTGGCAACAACGCTACTATTTTTTATGCAGTTTTTGTTCGGTTTTAAACGCAGCTAAGCGTAGAATAAAGGTCGGAAAAAGGGGAATATTTAAATTTGATAATTTTACGATTTTAGTAATCTTATATTAACCGCTTTAATATGTACGCACGTATTTAAAACACGCCGTGTAAATTTACAACGGTACATAAAAAAAAACATATTTTTATCTTATCGTCGCTTTAAATCCGCATTAGGTCGACAATAAACTTTATTTGCTGAAAAAGAAAATCGAGATTTTATTATTATAGTTCGTTTTGGTTTAATAAATGTTCTTCCTCACTGTCTTGCCATCCTAAACGGTAGGTTATGAAAATTCCGATGGCGCCCAATAATAAACCGAGCCCTAAAAGTCCGTAACCGGTATATTGACCGGCCGAGGGTAAAATCAACACCATTTTAACGGTATCGGCCAAGTCGTTTGTGAGTTCGGCCGTTTGGCTGAACCAAAAGATCGGCATCAACGTCGTATTCATTTTAGATACCAACCTGAAACAAATGTTGACAGTTACCGATATGAGAAGCTCTAAATAAATGTCAAACGACAAATTACGACTGTTACCGATATATGAAGTTGAAACAAATGAAAATCCACACATTCTGATATGCGAAGATAAAACAAATGTCAAATTATGACAGTTAGACATTGGAAGTAGAAACAAATGTCAAACAAATTATAATAGTTAATTATATGTTAAGCTGAAACAAATGATAAACGATAAAATCTGACAGCTACAGGTAAACTAAGCTGAAACAAATGTCAAACTTAATATTCAAACAATTACTGGGAAAAGAAACTGAAACAAATATCGAAACGTCAAATTTGGATTGATGCCGATATGTGATTAACAAATTATGACAGTAAATGATATACGAAGCTGAAACAAATGACAAATTTTGACCATAATTAACGATATTATGCGAATTTTGACAATAATTAACGATATGCGAAGCTGTAACAAATGTAAAATTAAGATAGTCACTGACACGAGAAGCTCAAATAAATGACGAACGTTAAATTCTGACAGTTACCGTCATGCCATTCTGATAGTTGTCAAACGTTGAAGCTGAAACAAATGGCTAAAATCAAATTTTTGCAGTTACCGATATACAAAGATGAAATAAATGTCAAATTATGACAATTAAACATCCGAAGCTGAAACAAATGTAAAATATCAATTCTAGCAGGCGATGCCTAAACAGTCGAAAAACGTCAAATACAAACAGTTATAGACAAACGAAGCTGAAACAAATTTAAAACTTAATATTCAAACAATTACTGAAGCAACTATTAAAAGGTGAAATTCTGAATGAAGCCGACATCTGAATAACAAATAATGATGGGCGAAACTGAAACAAATGACAAAAGACCAATTTTAACAGTTATCAATATGTGAATCTATAACAAATGTCAACTTATGAAAGTTATTAATATGCGAAGCTGAAATAAACGACAATAGATACATTTTGACAGTTACTGACACGCGAAGCCTAAGTAAGTGACAAACGTTTAATTCTGACAGTTACCGACATGTTATTTTACAGAAAAACGAAGCTAAAACAAATGTAAAATTTAATATTTAAACAAATATCGATTGACGCCGATATGCGAATAACAAATAATTAAAGGCGTAGCTGAAATAAATGACAAAAGACCAATTTTGACAGTTATCGCTATGCGAAGCTGAAAGAAACGTCAAATTATGACAGATACTGACATGCGAAGATGAAATAAATGTCAATTATTAAATTATGATAGATATACTAAATTAAAACAAATACTAAAGATATTTTGACAGCCACTGATCGAAGCTTAAACAAATTTCAAACTTTACTCCCTGACAGTTACTAACGGGCCAAGCTGAAACAAATGTCAATTGTAACATTTAAGTAGTTTTGACAAGCAAAACTGAAATAATTAATCATTACATAGCTACTGACAATCGAAGATTTACAGTTACTAATGTTCGAACCTGAAACAAATGCCAGACGTTAAATTTTGACAGTTACAGATATGCGAAATTAAAACAAATGTCAAATTATAACAGTTGAGGCATGAAAAGCTGAAACAAATGCCAAACAAGAAATTATTACAGTTGGACATGAAAAGCTGAAACAAATTCCAAACAAGAAATTGTGACAGTTACTGATATGTGAAGCTGAAACAAATGACAAATGTCAATTCTAACAGTTATTGACAAGTGAAGCTAAAACAAATGATGAACAGCAAATTTTAACAGTTATCGATATGCGAAATTGAATAAAATGTCCAATTCTAATAGTTCTCGAAATGTGAAGCTAAAACAAACGACGAAAGTTAAATTTTGACAGCTACCAATATTCGAATATGAAATAAATGTAGAAGACACGTGAAGCTCAAAAATTGTCAAACTAGGAATTATGCTAGAAAGTGATATGTGAAGCTAAAACAAATGACAAACTACATATTCTGACAGTTATTGATAATCGAATCTGAAACAAATTTTAAACGTCGATTTTGACAGTTATCTACAAACGAGGCTTAAACAACTTTCAAAAGTCAAATCATGAAGGGCGAAGCTGAAACAAATGTCAAACTTCACATTCAAATGATTACTGATAAAGGGGTCTATTCTGTAAAAATTCCTTTATATTTAACGGCCTTTAAAAATATTGGCAGCCTTTAAAAGTATATTTGTATTCGTTAATTTACTTGTCATTATTTAAACAGATTTCTTTAAGATAGTACGCTAATGTATTTTAAAGATCCGTTTAAATAATGACAGAAGTAAAGAAGAAAATATTTTTAAAGGCCGTTAAATATGAAGGAATTGTTACAGAATAGACCCCAAACAAAGCTGAAACAACTGTCAGGCATCAAATTCTGATTGTTATCCTGATATGCGAAACGAATGACAAATTTTGACAACTACCAATATGGGAAGCCGAAACAAATAATACATTTTGACAGTGAAAAAAGTGTCAAAACTGAAACAAATAGTGAACATCAAATTTTGACAGTTGCCGATATACAAAGAACAGACAAATTTTAAATTATGACAGTTAGATATGCGAAGCTGAAACAAATGTCAAACAAAAAATTATGACAGTTACTGATAAGTGAAGCTGAAACTAATGTTAACTCATTTTGACAATTACTGACAATCGAATCCGAAACAAATTTTAAACGTAAATTCTAACAATTGAAGCTTAATCAATTACAATCGTTAAATCCTATCGGTCGAAGCTGAAACAAATGTCAAACGTCAAATTCTGATTTGCGAAACAAATTAAAAAATTTGAGTTATTTACGTGTGAAGCTTAATTTTTTTCAAATATTGACAGTTCCCTACGAATGAAGCTCAAACAAATATAAAACGACAAATTATGTCAACTAAAACAAATGTCAAATTTTGGCAGTTACTGACGTGCAAAGTTGAAAGAAATTATGACAGTTAATGATGCGCGAAGCAGAAGTAAATGACAAACGATACATTCTGACAGTTATGCAAAGCTGAAACAAACAGCAAACGTCAAATTCTAACTTAACCAAAGTGTGAATAAAAAATAATAAGAGTTAGTGATATGCAAAGCTGAAACAATAGATAAACGTCCAATTTTGATAGTCATCGATATGCGAACCTTAAAACGAGGTCAAATTATGATAGTTACAGTCATGCGAAGCTAAAAAATATGTCAAATTATGATAGTTACAGACATGCGAAGCTGAAACAAATGACAAGTATTGACATCCGGAGCTGAAATAAATATCTAACTTTAAAATCTAACAGTTGCCTAACTGTGAAGCTGCAATAAATAGTAAAAGTCAAATTTTGACAGTTACTGATGTGCGAATCTGAAACAAATGACGAACGGTAAATTGTAACAGTTAATAAATGTCAAATTATAAAATTTGTCGATCTGTGAATCTGAAACAAATGGCGAACGTCAAATTTTGACAATTATCGATATTTTAAGATAAAATAAATGTAAAATTATGAATTATAAATGCAAATTTGAAAAAAGATGACAAAAAATAAATTATGACAGTTACTAATACGTTAAGCTGAATTAAATGACAAATGTCGAACGTCAATTATGACTGTCATTAATAATCGAAGCTTAAACAAATTTCAAACTTGACATTCAAACGGTTATTCATAAGCAAAGCTGAAAAGTGTCAAATTCTCAGTATTGCTGATATGCGAAATAAATTACAAACGGAAATTTTGATTGTTACAGTCATTTGAAGCTGAAACAAATGAGAAGCAACAAATTATTACTGACAATCGAAGTTAAAACAAATTTCCAATGTCAAATCATGACAGTTACTGGTGGAACAAACGTCAAACTTTACATTCAAACGGTTACTGACAAGCGAAGCTGAAATAAATGATAAATTGCAAATTTTGATAGTTACTAACAGTCGAAGCAAATGTCAAATTCTGATATTTACAGACTTGCGAATATTTGAAATGTTAAATTCTGGCAATTACCAACATGCGAATCTGAAAAAAATGTTAAATTCTGACAGTTGGCGAACTGTGAAGTTAGCACAAATGGCGAACGTCAAATTTTGAGTCATTGGCGGGCGAAGCAAAAACAATAGTTACAGACCATTGAAGGTTGGACAAAAATGTCAAATTTTGACAGTTATTGAGATACGAAGCTGAAACGAATATTAAATAACCGACAAATTCCGAGTTTCTGCTAAAAAGTTGAAACTGTCAAAGTCTGATAAACGAAGCTAAAAATATGTCAGTTACTGACATGTGAAGATGAAACAAATGTCAAAATCAGAGTAACTGACGTGCGAAGCTGGAAGGCGCAAGGATGATTGTTATGAAATTAGAAAGTTACTATGACAGGTTTGCATACTTGTGAGGTAATGGAGGAATATTCGGAAGAGCAGAGATTATTAGTTTCTTATTTTGGTAGATATTAGAAGGTTTTGAATTGTAAAATATATTAGGTACTGTATAGGATGTCCAATATTGGTTAAATATAAAAAACATATGAGTAAAATAAAGATGAATTTATGATTTTTTTCAAAATTAAAATATCAGATGCGGTTTGATATATTTGGGCAAAATTACTTTTTATTTAATTAACACTTTTTTTAAATAGAGAAAAAACTATATTGTTTTGTTATTTTAAAGGCTCAAATTCTTAAAAAAAAATGTATAACTTACGTGATATGTTCTAAATGGAACAACCGAAGATTTATTTGAATCTGTGCTCGAACTTTCAAAGGCAAACCCGTATTGGGTTCTAAGGAGATAAACATTTCATGCTTGCCTTTATCAGGCATCATTCCCTCTATGGAACGTCTATAAAAGGGATCCGCCAGGTAGAAGTGAGGGAACGATACAAAAGCCGGAGCTCCGTACCTAAATTTAAAACAAAAACATTTTATATGAAATTATCTGGTAAAAAATAAATTTTTTATTTACTTACTTGCAAAGTGATACGTCACGAACGCCACTGTATTCAGATTGATTAAAGAAACACCTCATTTCTGGATACAATGTACCGTTATCGAAAGCTTTATTAGTTCCTAGATATTTATAACCGCGGATTCCATGTAATTCGTCTTCTCCATTTCGTTCCAATTCCAGTGTACTACAAAGGAAATATTGTGAGGAAATCTGCAAAGACTAAAACGTTTGTATAATGAACACTTTGATAGTCATGATGTCATTTTATTCAGCAGGACTTGAAAAAACCTTTTTTCTGCTGTCCCTTCTTACCTGCACAAATCGTTCGAGAAAATCTTAATCGAACGTTTCTCATGAGGCGGATACCACAATTCCCCTTGCGTACCCTCGACTTTCCCGCAATCTCCTGGATAATAAGGAACTTGTTCGTAGTTATTCCACTTTCTAACGATACCTAAATTGTCTATAGAATCGGCACCATCGTTCATATTAAACAGACCGTCGTACGGTGCGCTGTTATTCCTCTAAAAAAAAAAAAAAATAGCACCGAGTTCGAATTATAAGTTACAACCGTTAAAAAGTCGTGTACTCACATCGACGAACCAGCCCATCTTGGTGAAAGGGATTTTTATGTTGGAAATATTCAATTTATGCAAAAGGTCCAACATTGGGTCGTCGTAACCTTCGAAAATGAATTCGTTTACTGTTCTGGTGACGGCCAAAGTTACTCGTTTTTCTTCGAGGAAAAAATTCACGCCTAGTTGTACGAAATAGTGTTTATCTTTGACTACGTTTGTTACAGACTGGAAGAAAAAAGAATAATACAGTATTTTTGTTAGAACAGCTGGAGTTGCTAGAAGTCTGGGACTGAGTAAAGATGGACTACGTATAGGATATAACTATATATTAATATGAAATGAACATACAACTATAATGATTACAATATCAAGAATTACACACTTGACATTCTGTACTTCGTACTGACGTTTATCACATGAAGTCTTATATAGGGTGATTCATTCAATTCCTAACAATTTTTAACGCAAAAGGTGTATTTTAAATAAATATTCCTCGAAGCAGCCCAGGCAGCACACTTTGATATAATTAACGTATTATATACGCAATTCTCGTTTATATTTGGTATTAGTTGATTTCGTATACGTTTTTTTAAACGTCCTAATTGTAAATTATTCTACGTTTAAATATAGTTAACAATATAAGACTATTTTTAGTTTGCGAAGAACGATTTGTAGACAGTGTGCCTAAATATACGTTTAGGTTTATTTATATAAACGTTTATAGATACTAGTTATTGTATATTATACGTTTAAATATAATTTACCTTTGTTTATATGAAAAGCTTATTGGTATATTTGTTTATATTATATCCATATTTGTTTTATTATATCACCTGTAGTAAACCTTAGAAACCTTATGATACGTTAAAAATAATTAAATTGATCTATTTAAATATATAAAAAAATTTATCAAGTACTTACAGCAACCACTGGATTAAAAGTCGTAACATTATCACTGAGACTCCCCTTAGATTTATCCGGGGCGAATTTCCATATTCTTCTATTGTAAAAAGTGACAGTTGCGTTATCGTTAAAAGTCACATTGTCTCTGATGTGATGTTCCGAAAAAACGTACGGACCGAGTTCTGTAAAATGGGGCTTAACGGAGGCATTTTTTTCGCATATATCCGCGTTGGTCCAATTGAACATGTAGAACGATAGATACATGGGGATGGGAGTTTCTTTCCACATCGAATACCCTATGGTGCTTTTCGTTGATATTCCTAGTTGCTGTAAAAATATTATTAAATGACATTGGAGCCTTTATTTCGTCACTATTTCCAAATTCATAGATTTATAAATTTCAAATGTTAACAGGTGTTATAGTTAGAGAGTATCAAAGTTGAATTCTTATTTGTTATAAATTTGACATCGGAGTATTTAATTCGTCACTATTTCCAAACTAATAGATTTATAAATTTCAAAATTTCAGAAAATATTTATAAAAAGCATAGAAACCTAATTTTCCAAACAACATTTTCAAATTTTAAAAGGTGTTATAGTTAGAGAGTATCAAAGTTGAATTCTTGTTATAAATTTGACATTGGAGCTTTTAATTCGTCACTATTTCCAAACTAATAGATTTATAAACCTCAAAATTTCAGAAAATATTTATAAAAAGTGTAGAAACATAATTTTGTAAACAAAATTTTTAAATTTTAACAGATGTTGAAGTAAAAGAGTATCAAAGTTGAATTCTTGTTATAAATTTGACATTGGAGCTTTTAATTCGTCACTATTTCCAAACTAATAGATTTATAAATTTCAAAATTTCAGAAAATATTTATAAAAAGTGTAGAAACATAATTTTGTAAACAACATTTTTAAATTTTAACAGTTGTTGAAGTTAGAGAGTATCAAAGTTGAATTATTACTTGTTATAAATTTGACATTGGAGCTTTTAATTCGTCACTATTTCCAAACTAATAGATTTATAAACCTCAAAATTTCAGAAAATATTTATAAAAAGTGTAGAAACATAATTTTGCAAACAAAATTTTCAAATTTTAACAGATGTTGAAGTAAAAGAGTATCAAAGTTGAATTCTTGTTATAAATTTGACATTGGAGCTTTTAATTCGTCACTATTTCCAAACTAATAGATTTATAAACTTCAAAATTTCAGAAAATATTTACAAAAAAGTGTAGCAACATAATTTTCCAAACAAAATTTTCAAATTTTAACAGATGTTAAAGTTAGAGAGTATCAAAGTTGAATTCTTATTTGTTATAAATTTGACATTGGAGCCTTTATTTCGTCACTATTTCCAAATTAATAGATTTATAAACTTCAAAATTTCAGAAAATATTTACAAAAAAGTGTAGCAACATAATTTTGCAAACAACATTTTCAAATTTTAACAAGTGTTAAAGTTAGAGAGTATCAAAGTTGAATTCTTATTTGTTATAAATTTGACATTGGAGCTTTTAATTCGTCACTATTTCCAAACTTCAAAATTTCAGAAAATATTTATAAAAGGTGTAGAAACATAATTTTGCAAAAAACATTTTTAAATTTTAACAAGTGTTAAAGTTAGAGAGTATCAAAGTTGAATTCTTATTTGTTATAAATTTAACATTGGAGCCTTTATTAGGTCACTATTTCCAAACTAATAGATTTATAAACTTCAAAACTTCAAAAAATATTTATAAAAAGTGTAGAAATATAATTTTGCAAACAACATATTCAAATTTTAACAGATGTTAAAGTTAGAGAGTATCAAAGTTGAATTCTTATTTGTTATAAATTTGACATTGGAGCTTTTGATTCGTCACTATTTCCAAACTAATAGATTTAAAAACTTTAAAATTTCAGAAACTATTTATAAAAAGTGTAGAAATATAATTTTGCAAAAAACATTTTCAAATTTTAACAGGTGTTAAAGTTAGAGAGTATCAAAGTTGAATTCTTATTTGTTATAAATTTGACATTGGAGCCTTTATTTCGTCACTATTTTTAAAATAATAGATTTATAAACTTCAAAATTTCAGAAACTATTTATAAAAAGTGTAAAAACATAATTTTGCAAACAACATTTTCAAATTTTAACAAGTGTTAAAGTTAGAGAGTATCAAAGTTGAATTCTTATTTGTTATAAATTTGACATTGGAGCGTTTATTTCGTCATTATTTCCAAACAAATAGATTTACAAACTTCAAAATTTCAGAAAATATTTATAAAAAGTGTAAAAACATAATTTTGCAAACAACATTTTTAAATTTTAACAAGTGTTAAAGTTAGAGAGTATCAAAGTTGAATTCTTATTTGTTATAAATTTGACATTTGAGCCTTTACTTCGTCATTATTTCCAAACTAATAGATTTATAAATTTCAAAATTTCAGAAAATATTTATAAAAAGCATAGAAACCTAATTTTCCAAACAACATTTTCAAATTTTAAAAGGTGTTATAGTTAGAGAGTATCAAAGTTGAATTCTTATTTGTTATAAATTTGACATTGGAGCCTTTATTTCGTCACTATTTCCAAACAAATAGATTTATAAACTTTAAAACATCAAAAAATATTTATAAAAAGTGTAGAAATATAATTTTGCAAACAACATTTTTAAATTTTAACAAGTGTTAAAGTTAGAGAGTATCAAAGATGAATTCTTATTTGTTATAAATTTAACATCGGAGCCTTTATTTCGTCACTATTTCCAAACTAATAGATTTATAAATTTCAAAATTTTAGAAAATATTTATAAAAAGTGTAAAAACATAATTTTGCAAACAACATTTTTAAATTTTAACAAGTGTTAAAGTTAGAGAGTATCAAAGTTGAATTCTTGTTATAAATTTGACATTGGAGCTTTTAATTCGTCACTATTTCCAAACTAATAGATTTATAAACCTCAAAACTTCAGAAAATATTTATAAAAAGTGTAGAAACATAATTTTGCAAACAAAATTTTCAAATTTTAACAGATGTTATAGTTAAAGAGTATCAAAGTTGAATTCTTATTTGTTATAAAATTGACATTGGAGCTTTTAATTCGTCACTATTTCCAAACTAATAGATTTAGAAACTTCAAAATTTCAGAAAATATTTATAAAAGGTGTAGAAACATAATTTTGCAAACAAAATTTTCAAATTTTAACAGATGTTAAAGTTAAAGAGTATCAAAGTTGAATTCTTATTTGTTATAACTTTGACATTGGAGCGTTTATTTCGTCATTATTTCCAAACAAATAGATTTACAAACTTCACAATTTTAGAAAATATTTATAAAAAGTGTAAAAACATAATTTTGCAAACAACATTTTTAAATTTTAACAAGTGTTAAAGTTAGAGAGTATCAAAGTTGAATTCTTGTTATAAAATTGACATTGGAGCTTTTAATTCGTCACTATTTCCAAACTAATAGATTTATAAACCTCAAAATTTCAGAAAATATTTATAAAAAGTGTAGAAACATAATTTTGCAAACAAAATTTTCAAATTTTAACAGATGTTAAAGTAAAAGAGTATCAAAGTTGAATTCTTGTTATAAATTTGACATTGGAGCTTTTAATTCGTCACTATTTCCAAACTAATAGATTTATAAACCTCAAAATTTCAGAAAATATTTATAAAAAGTGTAGAAACATAATTTTCCAAACAAAATTTTCAAATTTTAACAGATGTTAAAGTTAAAGAGTATCAAAGTTGAATTCTTATTTGTTATAAAATTGACATTGGAGCTTTTAATTCGTCACTATTTCCAAACTAATAGATTTAGAAACTTCAAAATTTCAGAAAATATTTATAAAAGGTGTAGAAACATAATTTTGCAAAAAACATTTTTAAATTTTAACAAGTGTTAAAGTTAGAGAGTATCAAAGTTGAATTCTTATTTGTTATAAATTTAACATTGGAGCCTTTATTAGGTCACTATTTCCAAACAAATAGATTTATAAACTTCAAAACTTCAAAAAATATTTATAAAAAGTGTAAAAACATAATTTTGCAAACATTTTTAAATTTTAACAAGTGTTAAAGTTAGAGAGTATCAAAGTTGAATTCTTATTTGATATAACTTTGACATTGGAGCGTTTATTTCGTCATTATTTCAAACAAATAGATTTACAAACTTCAAAATTTCAGAAAATATTTATAAAAAGTGTAAAAACATAATTTTGCAAACAACATTTTCAAATTTTAACGAGTGTTAAAGTTAGAGAGTATCAAAGTTGAATTCTTGTTATAAATTTGACATTGGAGCTTTTAATTCGTCACTATTTCCAAACTAATAGATTTATAAACCTCAAAATTTCAGAAAATATTTATAAAAAGTGTAGAAACATAATTTTGCAAACAAAATTTTCAAATTTTAACAGATGTTAAAGCAAAAGAGTATCAAAGTTGAATTCTTGTTATAAATTTGACATTGGAGCTTTTAATTCGTCACTATTTCCAAACTAATAGATTTATAAACTTCAAAATTTCAGAAAATATTTACAAAAAAGTGTAGCAACATAATTTTCCAAACAAAATTTTCAAATTTTAACAAGTGTTAAAGTTAGAGAGTATCAAAGTTGAATTCTTATTTGTTATAAATTTGACATTGGAGCGTTTATTTCGTCATTATTTCCAAACAAATAGATTTACAAACTTCAAAATTTCAAAAAATATTTATAAAAGGTGTAGAAACATAATTTTGCAAAAAACATTTTCAAATTTTAACAGGTGTTAAAGTTAGAGAGTATCAAAATTGAATTCTTATTTGTTATAAGTTTGACATTGGAGCGTTTATTTCGTCATTATTTCCAAACAAATAGATTTACAAACTTCGCAATTTTAGAAAATATTTATAAAAAGTGTAAAAACATAATTTTGCAAACAACATTTTTAAATTTTAACAAGTGTTAAAGTTAGAGAGTATCAAAGTTGAATTCTTATTTGTTATAAATTTGATATTGTAGCCTTTAATTCGTCCCTATTTCTAAACTAATAGTAACAAAAGTATTGAAAAAAAAAAAAGAGACAAAATAAATGTTTATATGTGAGTGGTAAAAGACATTCAGTATTATTAAGGAAAATATTAATATTTTGAGGTCCTAAAACCATGATTAAAATCTTTCTATAAACTAAGGTTAAAATAATTATCATTTCTTATGAAACACCCAGTATGGATTTTATTATATTGTAACCTTGCACACTACAGTAGCCTGCGGTCGTCATAAGTAAAAGTACAAGAAAAAGAAGAAGAGAGAATAGTCTAGAAATGTCATTCCGTGTCAAGAAACAT